CTTACATTGTGCCAGTTCTTGTGCAAGAAAACGAATTCATTAGACATTCAATGGACTGCAGCACACGATTCACGTTCTTAACGAAATCAAATAGATTTGTGGCTATGTTCATGCTTGAAAATTTGCGGTCGTTCGCGTTCAGTGATCGCGGGTGGCTGCTCCGCGTGAAGCGAGAGGGAAGCCGCTCATGGAATGGCTGCGATGAGGGACTGCGTTCGTGGTGTCAGCTGATTCCTCACAGGGATGGGAAGTGATTGGTGAACGGAGCGGTGGCCAACTCAGGCGATCTTGTAATGGTTATCGTACCGGTCTTTTATACCCAAGTTGTCTGGTTCAAATCCGATCGAAGCCGTGGATTTTTAAGGGCGAAAAAAATTCTTCGTACGCCTTCCTTCGGAGAGGAAGTAAAGCCGGCTGTCCCATGTTAGTAGATTTACTTGCATGTGAAAGATCCTCAAGCCTAAATGACGCCTCTGAGCTAAATTCAAATCGCCTGTTTCTCGCCTAAGAAATACCTCCTTTCTCTGCTAGTTGGTGAAATGAGCGTAGCGAAATTTGCGTGGTCAAACGGAAGAGCAGGCCTCATGGGCTGAGTCTCGCCTCGTAAAATAAGGCATCAATTCAATTCAAATCATTCCCCACCCCAAATCCTCAATTCTTCTTATTAGGGTCACTCTGACGGTGTGTGGAGAATACAATGAGCCTTTGGACAGATGACTAACACACACAACCATACGTAGTTTCATCTCAGTTGGACTTATGACATCACAATCAATTTTATCTGCAGTTTATTATTAAATTTTAATTTCCTTTAACTTCTCACCTATAAATGTTTATTTGATATTGTCAAATCAGCGTCTTTGGAGGGAAAATGCGGTGATATCATCATCAAAGTCGTGCATTACAACGCAGTATCCATGGTCATTAGTAATAAATCTGTGTTTTAATTTTTTTGTTCCTGTTGCCTGCCATAATACTGCCGCTCAGTAAAATAAAAGATAACGACAAAAATGCATAAAATGTGTTGAGACATTTCAATAATTTTGATATGCTGAAATACAGTGTCCTCATTTGGCTCCACCACGTACAAAATGTATGTGTTCTAGTAGTTAACAAATTAAGAAATTAATTAACAATTATGCTACTATAATAGTAAGTCAAAATAAATTTATTTTGTGTTTGTGTTAAAACTCAATTAGCAAGCCACAGAGAAATTTGAATTCTCACAGAAAACTTATTTTGTTTGCTATTAATTGAAACCGTTTGAGAATGTATTTTCCTCGTATTATTTTAACATTTGTAATAAAATAATACTGCGACTTGTACCCTTCAAATACTACAGCCATACTTCTTAAAAAAACTCTCATTATCAACGAAGGCAAGGATACTCGAGATAAAAAGTACATCTCTAATTTTTGAAACTTGAAAGTGTTTGTGAATGTGCACTAAAGCCGTTCAATTGAATTCACGTCCTATTTCCCGCTTCCTTCAGAGTCGAGTCACTTGCTGTTTAAAAAGTCCCGATTCAGGAATGAATTTCAGAGGATTTTTCTCAGTTGTTCTCTATATTTTTTGTTGTGCTGAATTCGAATGTAAGGTTTCCCACTGCAAGCCACAATTAAAATGGCAAAAATTCGTAAATAAATGGCACTTTTTTCAGTTTTTAGATTATATCTCAAGAACTCTGTTCTTTTTCGGAAGAACCTTTTCCAAAATATATAAATTAAGGTAGACAAAATTCTCTATATATTAATTCTATTAATTATATTAATTCTTATATTAATTCTCTATATATTAACATTAATTTTTCGACAATTACTATAGGTTCTATTCAAGATGTGTATTGAAAGTTTTAAAGCCTAGGCCACATCACACCTAATTCTCTCCTTTTTCTAAACTGTAATTGCAAACATGTAGTACCAAGCAAATATGTAACTATCTTCTCAAGAGACATCGTTCTCTGCAATATAACAGGTATCCATTGGTACTTTTATTATTTTACATCTAAACATATACCCCTGAACTTGTATATGACAACACACCAAGATGTCGAAGCATTGTACGATTACCACAAAGAATATTATAAATTAATTATTTTATTTTATGTACAATTTATTTATGTATTTTTTGTATTACATTACTTATGTAAAAATCACATCCGTCTTTGACAGGGAATCTGCAATTTCTGTGAATTTTATTGTGGGTATCTGATACCAAAAGTGTGGATACTTTTGTTCCTATATATATCAAATTACTTCCTCTAATAAGTTGAGTAGTCAGAATTCACGATTTATAAGTCCTTGACACCTAAAACCGGTTTGTGACTACATGTCAGTCCGTCTGTCCATTAGTCCGTCGGTGAACAACGCTAGCGGCTAAACCGAAAGTGGTAGTTGCCGCGGCCCCTTGAATATAAAACGGATATTTTAACTTCAGGGGGTATGTGGAATAAAGTTAGTAAAACGGCTCCATATTTTGTTCAACAGAGAAAAGTACTCTTATAAAATTGAAATATTTTTTATGGAATTCTCTGAATTTTCGAAAAGTGCAAAAGTTAAAAATGACTTCCTGCAACTACAATATTGATGATAGAGATAATTCTTCTTAATGAAATATGTTCACAGTTAGATCTTCAAGTGAGATTATGTACTTTCTTTCAAAACATGAGTAGCTTTCTGTAGTTGTTTTTAATGAAAGAGAGGCAAGTTTAAAAACAAAATTTTCTCAAACAATTATCCAAATTTTTTAAAAACGTTTTAGCACGTATAGTGCTAAGACAACAAAACATAAATGTCATGTTGATGTATTCCTTTAATTTTTCAAAACTTACACAAATGTAAGTTTGTTTCAATATATTTCTCACTTCGTAATTATTTACATTAGGGGCGTTTTACACATTATTGCATTTTTAAGTGCCAGTGCTTCTATTGATTTTTCATGAATATTCTAAAAAGTTCAAAAGTTTTCTGTGATAATGAGCACAGTATTGTACATTTACAGAAATGCTCAAACAACATATTCACAAACACAGCTTCAACTTTTTCAATGAAAATTTGCATTTAGGACCATGTTTTACTCTTCTTTAATATTGTTAAAGTGATATTCCAATTCTACTATTACGGTTTCGAAAAATTGAGAAAATGTGAAAAAGAGTTCTTTTAGGTATCTACTGGGAAGAAACTACAAAGCTAGCTAGGACTAAAAAGACTAGAAAACAATGCGAGAACATCTGTGCCACTCCGCACGACCACTAATTTTTTCTTGTATAATGTACAGTGCGCTTACACTACGGTATAATTCGGAATTTCATTAAAAATTTTAATTTTCCAAATTGCAAATCTTTGAAAATTGTAAGTTGCAATATTTTTTATTCTGTTTTTCTTGAGCCGGCTGAAGAATTTGTAGGATATAAGATGCAATATTTTAGTATAACGTTACTGTTACAAATAATACGGGAAATTGTTAAGTTGTCAGTACCAGACTTTTCATTTTCATGAAGGAGACTTGTACATTGAAAGCAAATCCATATAGTTTCTTGATTAAAACCAGAGAAATTCAAAACAGGTCAGAACAGTACCTTGATGACTGATGTCATCTCATGAGTATTTTGAATGCTTTAATTTTGAAATTGGCCGATTGCAAATTTGGGGAACATGATTGGTTTTATATATGAACATTCAATTCCATAGTTTTAGTGAATATCTTTAATGCCATGTTTAAAGTTCTATATATGTTGGTTCATTACACTGTTACTAATTGTGTTATCATGAAATCTTTCAATCAATTTTAGCTTACCAGGTAATAATCATTTCCTAACTTACATTACTCCTTTGTATTTATTTCCTTGAATTTTGGTGAAGTGTTCAGGCGCTGAAGTTCATTTATTCTTCTTTGGACTGTTTTGCTTCTTTCTAAGGTTGTTCTGTTGTTAATTACTGTCGAGACCTTCTCGCAAATTATAACTTCAAACATTCGGTCGTTTGTGGAGGTCAAACCTTCCAAATTGATACATTATTTTCATTCTATATCCTGTTTGTAAGTAACGAGCTGAGATCATTCATTTTGAAATTCTAAAAATATCAATTATTTCACTTTTACATTCTACTTACATTGTTTTCTGACGTTCTTCCGTGAATTGCCTTTGTGATTCAGTAACTCAATGCTCAATGATTTTCCTTGTTTCATCTCTGCCCTTGACATTGTAGGAATGTTATCAGCAATAATCACAAAACGAGAAGAAAGGCGTGTTAGAGAATTATTAATAATTATTTTCTTTACACACCCTCAGCTTCGCTCCAGCCTCATGTCTTCCACACCAAGAGTCAACTGTCAATATTCTGTCAGAAAAACTCCAGACACTGCCTGAAGGAACGTCGATAAACTTATTAGAGGCTGATGTAAATTCTTCGAAATATTATTAATTTCTAGCTATAAACGTGTCAAAACCAGGACGGTTTTCGATGGTAAAACAATTTATAAAAATCACTTCACAAAATTGTGTCTAATAAATTTGTTGTGACTTTTAAAATGTTTCATTTGGAATGTTATTTCTATGTTCAAAATTACATATCCTTTATTAAAAGTATCGCAAATTATATGATTTGAAAAGTAAAAAATTAAATGAAAATATACATAATTATCCTTTTAATTTATGAGAATAAACTCCAGGCATATTTCATTGTTAGTAACGTTATTTTTTTCTTTGTTTGCAGATGTGCGGAAGGATACAAGGGACAACGCTGCGAACTAAAAGACGTCTCCAATTCGGGGAGTATGTATAAGACGTATATCTGTAAATTAGGCTTCTTTACCTCGTATTATTGCTGAAAAATGGATCTTTAAATGAAATGCTCTTGAAAATCTAGACAATAAGATTTTAAATAACAGAAGCCAAAGAATTTTTGAGGATACTCGTGACGCTGTTGTTGCTGTTTATTCCTAGGGAGAGAAGCAAAACGTGCTCTATCACAGTTGCTGTTTATTTTTTAAACATTTTTCAGTTGGGCCTAGCTTTTATATAAATAGCTATTTATTTATTGTTAATATTATTTATCAAAAGTACTTTTTATTCATCCAACTCACAACAAATTAGGATGATGCGAATGCTCGAAAACACTGAAGGAAATCAAAGTGTTTTAGAAAACCAAAAACGTGGCCTGAAATCATTATTATGAAAAAACGGAAGCCAAAGTCAGTTGGTGCTTATTGAACCAATGAAGGATACTCAGGGTCAACGAGATTACTAGTTTAATTGAAAAGAAATGGAGTAGAATATTAATCATAAAAGCCAGGAAATTGATTGCTGGAGATCACTGCAAGATCAACGACATCTACATGTTGCAACAATGGTGATGTGATGACGTGACGGTAGCGCTTTGAACGCCCTCAACATTTCCCATGGTTTATGGATAGGTATGTAAACCAACCAGAGATTAGTTTTGTAAAGACAACAGCCAAAAAACTGAACCAAAATACGTATTAATGATAACTGCATTTATTATTTTACCAAAGAGACAGTATATATTTTCTTAGAAAACTCACCTTGATGCAAGCCTGTCTTTAGAATTCTGTCTAAGTAATATCTCTTACTGTTGTTTCTACTTTTGTGACTGACCGAATATTATTTGTATTTAAATATCATAAATGATAGACGGTAGCAAGCTGGTATGTGACTATGAAGCTTATTTTTCTTCTAACCTCAGTAACTGTTTTATCATTCTCCTATTCGTTCGAATTTACTACTTCTTGTGTTATCCGTTGTAGTGATTTATGTTTAATAGTAGTTCTTTATAAACTAGCTTTAATACATAATGGATAATTTACACAATGGGCTATCGTGAATGAAATTTGCACTACTCATCCTTTTCTTTCAAACCTGAACTTTGTCTCGAAAATGAGACTGAATTTTAAAATGGCAGGTCCTACATTTGTTGTGAGGAGGTCACTATTTCTTAGAAAACATGACTCCAGACATTGTAAACAGATCATTGACTGTCGTATACAATAGTTAATTTATAATATTTATTTTGTACAAAAATTATCATCATTTTATTTATATAAATACAGCCTGCTGCTGCATTTTTCTAATTTTGTAGTTACTTTTTATTTCCATTATGGTAATGGGCAGAAAATATCTACCTACCCCTACATTCCATTCCTAAGGTGTTTTCGACTAACACGTTTGCTTTAACTCAATAACCATTGCTTTAATGCTCAAGTGTTATTGTTAAAAATTATCTCATATAACACGAGAATTTGGCTGTTTAATATTACAATTATTTTATTATTTCAATTATTTAGAAATAATTTTTGATTCTGCCCCGATGTCCAACATGTGGTGCAACGTTTATCAAAGAGATGAGGTGTTTTAATTTCTCTGTTAACGTAAATGAATGTTTAAATAATCAACTGACCTCGCCACACATAAAGTTATCATTTCATAATACAAATGTATATATTTATTGGTTTTGGGTATTACTACAGATTACTTCATAACTGATTATAAAATCGCGTAAAACAAAACACAAAAAAAAACATTTTCCGTTATTACAGTAAGCACTTGATGCAAAATTCTGCTGTAACTAATCTTGTTTCCATGTTAATTTTTGGTTCGTAGATGAAAAGCTTCTTCTGTTGACGTAGAATTTGCTTTTGAAAGCGTTTTAAGCCTTCTTTTCTACTGAGCTGGTTTGAGGTTGATTGATCTCGTGTTCACATTGGGGTGTGATTTATTGAGTTGATTTTTGCTTCAATTTTGTGGGTTTAAATTGCAATGGGTTTGCTTCCCCAGGCTCCCTCGGAAGTGGGTTTGCTTCGGGGTTTACATAAAACTATCTAACATACTAGTTTCCTTCGCTGAGAAGAGCTAAACTTCCTTCGACTTCTGTTGAAATTCATGCAAATTATAACAAATTTAGTTCAAATTTCACGAACTAATTGACGAAATAAGCGTTTTTGTAAATCAAATTATTCAGGAAAAGAAGTTTTCTTTTCTGAACGAAGCCGACAAGAAGTTTCTCTCGCTTCTCTTCGCATGTCACCAGTACTTACCGCAAAATGAAGCTCAAGAGAGGTCTCCAGTGCATGCACTCAGGTCCAATGCAGCAAATCGAATATTTCGAGTTTTTCACTTCTCCTTTAACAGCAATTGTTAGTGTGTAGTTGTTAGTGGCTCTCGACTGCCTCTGACGTGTGTGTTGTCTATCGCAGATGATGACAAGGACTCGTGGCCCTAGGCAGCCGCCTCTCAACGCTGGGTTGTTGTTGACGTAGCGACAGGGCCTCGAGAGTACGTATCAACGAGCTAGCATTGCTTACGAGTATCATAGTGACTGCACAGTCTTAGAAGGGTTTGCATTTTTTGCTCTCCTCAATGGCATTTCCCAATGCTATTAGCTTCTTATTTGCACATTCATTCAATTTGTTTCCGAGTGGAATGTATGTTGATGAACATTCATTTAATGCTCATTTTCTCACATGGCCATTCGAATTCTTGTGGTAAAAATGCTTTATTTCAAGTATTACTTAAGAAAGAAATGTTTGACTTGATGAAATGTCTTTCCAGGTGGTTTTATCAATATCGGAAAACTCTTTCAAGCTTTCTGACTTGTTACTACAAAAACGTTACATTCCATAATTTTATAAAAAAACTATTTCTTTCATTTGCTGTTAAAAATATCAATTCCACAATTATCAAAATAAATTATTCTCTTCCGTCGTTATTACAATCTGGGCTGGTGACATCGATGACGATTACAATTAAATAATCCAAGAAGGCATGTTCTGCAGGTTTTCTAGGATCATAAATAAGACTTGTTTCTTTCTGTATGTTAACAAATCATGTGCCTAACAATTCTAACAGAATCTATATAATAACTTAATGAACTGAAAATAATTCCAAAAGCTGTGACTAATTTTTCAAAAACACGTAAAGTGAGGCATCCTTCTCAGCCAAGGTAAGTTAATACAACTCTCCCTGGTCTAAGAGAGCGGTGGCGTGGGAGCTTCTCTTTCTGCAGCGAAGCATCGTCTGGTAGGTTATTCCATGGCACATCATAACCAGGTGTGGGAATGACTTCTATGACTATCACTTCAGCTTATATAACACAATATTTCACTATTTATACACAATAATGTACTGTAATATGATTTGTTTCTTGATTCATTATAAATACTACAGGCTTACTTTGTAATAAGATACACATATAATTGGCACTTTGATACTAAAAGTATTAAAGTATTTTATTTACAAAATGGGCATCATCACAAATTTATAAAATTATATAACAATGTTGAAATAAACACTCTGAGAATCTCGACGTCGATTTAGTGGTCAGAAGCCGTTTATTTTTCTTTTTATATTTGCAGAAAATCATCGATAATTATTTTCATAAAATTTCCTTCTCTGTTTGATATTAAAATCTGATTAAATTAACACGATGGTTATGTTTTATTATAAAACCCATTGTATGCGTTGTCAAAACATATTATATTAATATTATTAATATGTTTTTTTAATTTAATTCCTTCAAAAAATTCTCACCGATTCATTTACTGTGCGGAACATAATTCCGATTAAATTGTCTCTCCATATGCATATGAGATACTGTAACAATTTTATAGCTACACAGTTTGTTATTTTTGTGACAATGCGCAATGCGCATAATTTATGTTCATGTTAGTCTGTAGATTCCTCATTCTGATACAGAATGAAGTATATAGTTTGTGTTTTTTGAAGTATTGTGAAGTTTGTGGGACATGCCTTTAATAACATCAAATTGTATCATAAATATATATTATATGTGCTTATTATCATAAAGGTAAGCCTGTCATGGTATTTATGTTTTCTGGATGGAATCGTTTCGTTTTGTACGGTATTTCTTGCCTATTGTAGTTCTAAATTGCAACGTAAAAACTTTTAAATTTATTATTGTTACGGTGATTAAGGCCTAATACATGGTCTAAATTTTGATAACATAAATTAAAACTATCATTAATGACCAAATTTACGCACCATAAAGAATAATAATATCTATTATTCAGTGTTGTATGAAGAAAAGTAATAAAATGGAATGTGTTGTTAGTATAGTTTGAAAACCTGCAGGACGTGATTTCCTCTAAAGTAATTAAAAATTATGCACAGTTCATGAGCCCATTACAAAAATTCAAAATATGACTCATTCTTTAAAAACACTTCTTGGTAGATTTTTTCACACTTAATGAATTATGAAGGAAGCGTTCGCAAACCAAAGATTTAATTAATATATCTTAATTTTGTGATATCAATTGATTAATCAATGCCAAACCAAGTAGGAAAATACGGCCAAAATGTGTGAGATAATTTGTTTGTTTGTTTGTGTTTTTAAATCGCGCCTTGCCAATGCAAGTAGAGATCTACAAGTTACAGGGTTCTGAAATTTGAGAACCAATAGCAGAAGTATTCTGTATGGATTAAGCACAGAAGAGTATGTCCATGACTATCACCATAACTGTTCGTAGATTTTCATTATGTTGACATGTCAATTACACATTCTTATATTAAGTATTTCTTAATGACTCTGACAAGAAATACATGAGAGCATAGTAGATAAATATGTTAGCAAACGCGTAATGCATTTTATTAAATACTAAGTGTAAGAGAGAACAAGTGGGATTTATTCATAAGATTAGCTAAAATGGTGTTAGTATCCATAGTTTCATGCGTGAATCCACATAGACTTCGACTAGCAGAGCTCGTTTTCCACGCAATTAGGGTACTGTATTTGAATCATTGAGATTAGCCAAGCATCACTAAAGAGTTCTATAGCGTTCCCTTCCTTGTCATCAATCGGCTTGTAAAATGCTGTCGTCGCTGGAGGCTGCCCGCTGCGGTGGCAGGCGCTGGGCGCCCGGAATACGCAAACAAACGTGACCTTTCACTCGAGACTCGCGGGGACCTGTCGCAGGCGGTCGTGTTGCCTCAGCTGCAGTGGAGAAGGCGCCGGCGTGGCGGAGGCGCGCTTCTGAACAGTGTTTTTCATCCGCTGCTGCAACCTAACATGTCACATAGCTTGCAAAATGTCTCCAGAAAGTATTAAATGCTGCATTAATTTT